GGCATCATGAAATTGGCTAAATAATGTGATTTTCCTGTTGTCCCCCGGGCTTGGAAAGGCAATTGCTGTCGCTTCTTCAAGAAGCTTGCGGTTGGTGTTTGCGTGGTCTATGAAAGGGGAGCTTTGTTTAAGATCTTTCGGATGCCTCTCATCTGAAAAGCGTTAAGTTTCTTGGCTATAGCCGTAGTTAAATGTATAGTTTCCAACCAAATAATAGTGGCAATCGTAATAGTAATCCTAATAGAAATGGTAATAGTTTCAAAATATGTCATTGGCATGATGATGCTCCGCATCCTGATTCGACGCCCTTCGGGCGAGAGCAGACCGCAAATTCGTGTAACAGAGAGGGAGACTTCCCATATGAGCCATAGTTTACACTAATTTGACTCCTAGTGTCCCCTTTAATATCCCCTATAATTCTCCCCTATATAATCCCTATATCATTCCCTTTAAGGAGTTGAGACTACGGCTAACCCTCATACCTCAGACTCCCGAACCCTCTCCTGAGACTTCGGAGGCACCTGCTGCGCGAGATTCTGATACGGACTCCCACGCCACCATTGATTACAGGAATCAGGGTTAGTTGTCGGCGGATGTCTTCTACGCTGTTCCCAAGACCTAGTCTTTCCCTGTAATACCCCTACTCGGCGGCAAGTCGTTTGATGACTTCTTGGCGCTGCTGTTGTGTAAGGTGAAAGCCGGCACTGTAACACAGGAGATGCAACGCAAGTATGGCAAACAAGTTGCAACAATGCCGATGGCGCAATACGTTTCCTGGATAAGCGTAAAGATAATGACTTCTTGCCATCTGGTTCCAAACCTCTTAATCAAAAAATGCGAGAGGTTCCATCCATTTGGTAGGGAAAGACAGCTTCCTTAAGCACTCAAAAAAGAAACGGAGCATTTCAACTTCTTAATGACAATATATGACAATATGAGAGGACACCATACCCTTCATAAGAAGCAAAAGAGCTCGGTTCATTCTTTTCCCATATGATAATGTTGGAATCTTAGACGTCGCGAATTTGGGTATCACCCCAATTTCAGCAAGTTTTAGCAAGTTCGAATGCAGGAAGTTGGGGTCCTGCATTCATTATAAGCTTTTCTGACAGCAGACTCTGAACATGAGACGGCCAGGACCCGTAATTTCCTTGCCGAATTCCATGCCTTATGGTAAGCTCGAATATCGCACTTAACATCTTGTGCACCCTTGCCTAAACAACTATCCTAAATATAATCCGGTGTCTAGTGCACGGTTTACTTAGTTATAGACATCCTGCATGTGGATAAAAAAATGTGTCCCCAAGACACCCAAAGAGCTATGATAACCTTACCGTGATTGACCATATGAAAACAAGTGGGAAGCACGGCAACAACGATCGCACTTTGAAGTGAATCACGCATAAGTAAGGCCCGAATAACCAGCTAAATCCCGAAGCTTGTGGGTTTTTCAAAATACAGACCCCGCACCTTCCCGCTTTGGAACACTAACGGTACAGTATTCTTTGCACCACTACTTATCGTAGTATTTATCGTAAATCTACGTAAATATATGCAAATATGGCAAGTGCAGATTAAACGCCCATAGCAAGAAACGGCCAACAAAACAGAAAGCACAAGCAGGAAGCTAGAAGCAGAGAGCAAGCAGCAGAAAGCAAGGAGCAGGAAGCACAAAGCACAGAGCCGGGGGCAGGAAAAAGCAGAAGCAGAAAGCGGAGGCCAAACGTGGAAGGCAGAAAGCAGCAGGAAAAAGCAGAAAGCAAAGTCATCAGTCAAAAGCAAAGGCGAGACGCAAAACCCAAAAACCTCTCGACAAAAGTCTCTTTAACCAAATATCGCCAGTCTCGAGTAAGTCAAGGCTTCGACATAATGGGTGCAGCGACATGGCCAGCGGCACGACCTCGGAGACCAAAGCCAGAAAGAACTATGCCACCTCATCAGCAGCTTTGGTGCGGACTTTCTGCACCGTAGTCAACCAAGAAAACGAACTCTTCCTGAAAGGCAGCCAGCAGAACTGCGCCCATCCACCAGGCTTAGCGACCACCACTGCATCAGGTATTTGCACAAAAATGCTTCCTGGTTGGATGCCCGTCTTCGAGTCGGAATGACAACCTCGCAGATGTTGACAATCTTCGTCAGAACCTTTGCAGTACTTCCCAGTGGCAATACCACTCTGTCAAATCACTTGCAGACTTTGAGTGTAAGCTCAGGCCTTCTGCAGGAGGTCCAACTCACTTTCCTGTCATGGAACACGAAACATGCTGGATGTTCATCAAAAGCAGCTTTCTCCATGCGCTCGGTTTACTTCAAGCAATGTGAAGACGTAGCTGTGTGAGGTAAAGAAAGTGCTTCTGCCGAACCATCCTCTGCATCCGCTTCTGTCGGTGCGTTGCGACTAAACTCCTGCACGCAGAACAATAATGCCTCAAGATTCCGTGGGCGTTAGTTCCGTTTCTACCAATCCCTTGACATGTTCACCATCGGCCACAACTACGGCCAGGATTGCAGTGTGCCTCGTCATCATAGCAGGCATCTCGATCCCAACTCTTGATGTTGACCAAACATTTACTAAACCCTTGGGCAGTCAAAAGTCCCTGTCTCCAGAACATAAATACAAACCGCACCGCAGTTGGTAATCCAATCTGCCAGCGCCAAAATTTGCTGAAATCCTCTTTCAATCATATGGGGGTTTCCCAAAATTAGGGGTACCTTTCTGGAGGTCTCCATAAGAAGGAAAACTGCATTTTGAGGTCTATATTGGGTTCCCCTATTTTTGGAAAAAGCCATACTGCAGGCCATCGTAACTACAAGAACACAAGCATCTGCTGGCAACCTGGCTCAGAGGTCCTTCTACCATAATATATTATATACACCTATATAATATAATCCATATATAACCCCAATAGCTTCCATTTTCTTTTCCATTATCCCAATGTTACCCCAATATACACCCTACGATCCTACGATCCCTATAAAACCCATTATAGTAGTTTCCATGTTCTTTTCCAATCCCTAAATAACCCCTATATCCCAACAATAAGCGATCTCAACCTCCTTGAGAGATTCGCGTACAAGCCCTGGAAGGCTCGGCCAGGCGCTGGATCGTCTATCGGTAGTTCTACATAGGGACAATGGAAAAGAAAACTGAAACTACTACATAGTATATTGGGGGTTTATATGGTATATCGGGGTTATTTAGGGATAATGGAAACGAAAACGAGAGCTATTATTTTGGTAATGACCCACACAAATACTGCTGAGCTCTTCCATTCATTTGGCCCTCTCCTTGCTGTCGTTGTCAGTCTTCTCTCGGATCTGGAAAGCCATCTTCATGATCTCAGCCTGGGATTATTGGACGTGTGAAAAATCAAATTAAATATCTTTTGTTTTCTTTTTTGTGCATTTTTTTTGTTTTCGGTGTGTCCTGAGTGTTTCGTAAGCCAAAATAACGCTCAACGCAAAAACTCAATTTTGAGCCGAGATTTGAGGACGCTCTACGCCGGAGCTCGACTTGGTGTCAAAATGTGAGAAGGCTACATGGGAATGCTCAGTTTTGAGCCCAAATTTGAGGACGCCCTAAACCCTAAACCCTAAGCCCATTAATTCAGTGTCAAAATGTGAAAAAGCTCATCGCCCAAGAGCTCAATCTCGATATAGGGTATAATATTGGGGTTTATATTGGGATAATGGAAAAGTAAAAGGAAACTACTAAAATAGGGTATATATTAGAGTATATATTAGAGTTATATTAGGGTTATATTAGGGTATAATATTGGGGTGATATTGGGATAATGGAAAAGAAAATGGAAAGTACTAAAATAGGGTATATATTAGGATATATATTAGGGTTATATTAGGCTTATATTAGGGTATAATATTGGGGTTATATTGGGATAATGGAAAATAAAATGGAAACTATAGGGATTATTGGGGCTATATAGGGACAATGGAAAAGAAAATGGAAACTACTATAATTTTTATATATTTGTAATGACAGTTGGGAAAGAAATCAGAATACATGATACTAGTGATACGATAGGAACGAATAATAACGGTAGTATGACCAGTAAGAATCCGCATAATCCTCTCTTACCCTCCCTTGCGGCAAACATGGTCATGACATGATTTTCTACCGCACGCATGTCCCTATATAGCCCCAATAATCCCTATAGTTTCCATTTTATTTTCCATTATCCCAATATAACCCCAATATTATACCCTAATATAAGCCAAAAACTTGGGGGGTGGGAACAAAATGATCCACACAGCCTTCCCCTACTGCAACCATGGTGATGACATGTTGTTTACCATAAGCATACATGGCTTTCAAAAATCTTGGGGGGGGATGATTTTTTACACAGAACATGGATCTCTTTAAAAAGGGGAGGGGGGTGGGCAGAAGCCAAGTAGATGCCAAGAAGCCAGAAAGTGGAGCGAACAAGCAGAATAGCCTAGAAGCCGCAAAGCCAAGAAGCCGGAAGCCAAGAAGCCGGAAAGCCCAGAAGCTGGAAAGTCGGGAAGCCGCGAAGCGAAGCCAAGAAGCCGAGAAACCAAGAAGCGGGAAAGCCAAGAGGCCAAGAACAAAAAAATGCGAAAAGACAAAAATGAATACTTTTCCTTCATGGACTAATCCTTCGCTGTATCTGCGACTGCAGTTTGATTCGAAATGAGAGCATCAGGGCGGTGCCATTCAGGCACAACATCTCTCAGATCAGGGCGCAATGTTCTCGCAAGACTTTCACCACCCTCTGGAGCCTGGTCAGTACGCTTCATTCAACTCCTCTCAGTACCATTCAGCAAGTGAACCCTAGTCTAAACTCCAAATATCCCACTTAATGACCCCTACAGTAGTCCCAGTATAACCCTTATACAACCCCAAAATACCAGAGTAGTTTCCATTCCATTTTCCAGTATCCCTATATAACCCCAATATATACCCTATGATCCCTATATGATCCCTTATATAACCCCCGAAATTTACCTAAACCCCAAACCCCTACAGAACCCCTTATATAACCCCTTTTGAGGAGTTACCCCTTATATAACCCCCTTTAAGGAGTTTAGAGTATGGCTCAAATCGCAAAGGACCCGGCGGCTTCAGGACCACGGAGTTGACGCTTGAACTCATCATCAGACCTGCAACTGGGTATATAGATTAATGGGGGTATATGGGGTTTTATAAGGGTTATACGGGGGATATTATAGGGATATAGGGGTTTTATAGGGTTATATGGGGGGTATATAGGAGTTGTTATATAGTATGTTATAGTATATTAGTGAAATATTGGGAAAAAAGATGGAAGCTACTATATTATATAGGTTTAGATAGTCTGTTCTAGTACTCCGGGGTTATATGAGCTATAGTCTAAACTCCTAGTATCCCCCCTAATAATCCCTATAGTAATCCCCTATATAATCCCCTATATAAGCCCCTTTAAGGAGTTTAGACTGTAGCTCATATATGGATAATGAAAAAGAAAATGGCCGGCCAAACGCACTGAGCATCCTGCAGCCGACAAACATCACCACAAGCACAACGATCATACAGCAGAGATTTGAAAGAGCCTCATACCTGCAGGGAAGTTTGGTTTAGGGTTTAGGGTTTAGGGTTCAGGGTTTAGGGTTTAGGGTTGTATAACCCCGGTATATCCCAATATAACCCTATATAACCCCATCCCTGTAGAACCCTATATAACCCCTACATAGCCCCTACATAACCCCTCTATAGCCCTATATCTCCCTCTGTAACCCCTATATAACCCTAAACCCTACATACTAGCTTCCATGTTCTTTTCATGTTCTTGTCATTTTCGTTTCCATGATCCCTATATAACCCTATATAATCCCTATGTTTAATTTTCAGCAGCTTCCATTTTCTTTTCCATTACTACTACATAACCCCCATCCCTATATCATAAGCCCCATATGGTACCCTTTCCCGTTTCATGTTCCATGTTCTTTTTCCATTTGAATCTCCATTATAGGGGATGATATAGTAACCCTAAACCCGAAACCCTGTATTGTACCCTAATATAGTGACTTAAATCAAGTTCCTAAGCCCTATATCCCGATAATATCACCGTTCAACATTGGCAGGTTCCCATTAGACTTTAGTGGCATGCGAAGGGCACTGTTTAACCTCGCCGAGATTAAACATGAGGATCACGTAGATGGACTGCACCTGACACAGTTTTTTTTTGCAACTCATTTTTCCAACTGGCTGATCCAGGCTGAAAGGCGTGCAGGAGCACAAAACTGACTGACAAAGTTTTAGGGTTAAGGGTAGGGTTTAGGGTTTAGGTGATTTTTAGGGTTTAGGGTGTAGGGTTGAGGGTTAGCAGTCTGTGGTGGAATGTGAAATTACCAGACAGGCCCCGCACTTCGAACACCGAGGACTGACGCCTCATCAAGTGCCGGGCATCCAGAGCAAAGGCACCAGAGACTCTCTGCCAAGATGCTGGGGCTCGGAAAACGTGGGCTGGAAGACAAGGTCAGGGATGGAGCCTCCTAGGATCTTCCAGGCTACAGAAAGTTCAACAACTGACGGCAAGCAAGAGTGGGAATTTAGGGCCTAGGCCTGCTGAGCAGTCAAAGCCATCAGAGGTGCTGGCTCGAACACAAATCCCGAAGGGACCTCGGCGGCAGATTTAATTCGTACCTGGGTTCACATCTCGCATCTTCAGGTCTCCACCATATGGCAAGTTGACGTAGAAGCTTGTGAACTGCAGCAGCTGCTCATTGATCCTGCTGCCGTTCAAAACTGCCGCGGGCAGGGCAGGGTACCCCAAAATCACAGCAGTCCAGCTCGCAGCACCAGTACTTGGGCTGGCGAAATATGCACCAACCTGCACCAAAAAATCAGGCGTTGATGGGAACACTAGCCACGCATGTGCCCTAGGTGAATGGATTGTTCAAGCTTCCGGCATCACCAGACAATAGGGTTGCCCAGGTAGTCATGGAATCCTCTGCCTGACAGTGTGCTTCTGCCAGAAGTGCGACCTCTCCAGATCTAGACCCTTACAAGGAGGCTTTCAGACGGCCTCCGGGTACATGAAGGTGCTGAAAAGAGGTATGAGAATAACCTCGTACTCCGAATCATGGCGTCATCTGAATCAGAAGGAACACATGGAGCTTCCAAGCACCCGACAATACAAACAGATAGAAAAGCGACCTGCAAACCGGGCAGTCTGCGTCAGTGATGCGTCACGGGTTACATTGCGGTGACATGGGGGTTATATTGGGATTATATAGGGGTTATATGGGGGTTATGTTCGGATTAGACGGGGGTTATATTGGGGATGATTGGGAAGTGTTGGGCAATCTGAGCAGCCGGCCCTTGTCGCAAGCATCACGGTCAGCTTGTTGGAGACAGCGTTTGCAACCTCCACATGAGCTATAGTCTGAACTCCCACTCTCCCCCTTAATAACCCCTATCATACTTCCCTGTAGAAACCCCTATATAACATCCCTTTTAAGAATTAGACTTTTGGTCATATAAGTATGTCTCACGAGAGCTCTGCAGCTCTGGTGCAAGGTTACTGTATCTGAGCCACTATATATATATATATGTATTATAGTATATAATATATATAATATAATGTATACATATTACTATATGTATAATATGTAATATAATTCCTATTTGCCTGCTGTCCACTTTGCTCCTTGTTCTGCAGGAATGGCAGGAAGCGAAGCAGCTTCAGCAGCCGCGACCTAAGGTCTCTGAAAGATGCCTGCGAAGAAAGGAAAGAACAAATAGGGTTTAGGGTTGGGGTAATGGAAAATAAAACGGAAACTATTATAGTTATAGTATATTGCGGCTATATTGGTGTTATATCGGGATAATGGAAAAGAAAATGGAAACTACTATAGTATATTGGGGCTACATTGGTGTTCTATTGAGATAATGGAACAGAAAATGGAAACTACCATTAGGTAAGTGCCAGGAAATCCGCGAGACTACTTAGATTGATAGAGCTGATTACAGCCAACCGTGATGCAATAGGCCTCACGTTCACAGAAGAAATGTTTTTCGCCTTCGACGCATACCCTAAACTTTAAACCCTAAACCCTAAACCCTAAAGCCCAAGGACGGTGCATTCGACCGGCGCGAGCCGCTTGTTTTGCCGCCCTCGAGGCGCGGGCAAAGACCGCCTGTTTTAAAGGGACTCTACTGGGAACCCCAAATAGGGAACCCCAAGAATATAGCAGGAATATAATGGAATATAAGGGCCTTGGTATGTATATTCCTATTATATACCTACTATATTCTTGGGGTTCCCTATTTGGGGTTCCCAGGAGAGTCCCTTTATGTTTGGGACCATGACAAAGCTCCGAAGTCGAAGTGGCATTGAATTGCACACATTAGGTTGTTCTTGCTAGTGTGTTCTATTATTACTATTCGTAGAGGAAAAATCTGCGAGTGCTCTACGATCATTACTATGGATAGCGATCAGGCCCATGGGCACCGTAAATGTTATCAGAACCCTTTGGTGTCTGTCGAGCTTGGCCGCAGACGTTGTCACTTCCCACAGACTGCCCTGTCGACCTATCAGATTCACTAATGCCCGAATGTGGACTTCCACATGAGCTACAGTCTAAACTCCTAGTATCCCCCTTCACAACCCTTGTAGCAGGCCCCTATTCAATCCTCCATATAACACCCCTTTTTAGGAGTTTAGACTATAGCTCACATATCGCCAGCTGAGGTGCCTCTCTCTCTGAGTGACATCCCTGCCCAGAAATATCGATATGTCGAAGATAATTGAGGCGGTGCCTGACCAGGGCATGCTCTCGAATCTAGAAAAGCACATAAGGCAGGTTTGGTAGCAGCATGCAGCCCATAAAAATCTGAAAGTTATCGTGTCGTGGTACCAATGATGTCCATCCAGAAGAAAAAGCTGTTGAGATACGACCTGCAAGCAGACATCAAGCACATGGAGGCAGCAACACTTCCCAAAATTGAGAAAACCAGTGCCGTACTCCATGGTCAGCGTGTTGGCAAGCAGCTCGGCAAGAAAGAAGCAGAAGCAGCCCTGCGCAGGTCAAGGATATGTCAGATGCCTGTCGACACGCACGGCAGGCCGTCAGCAAGATGTCCAATGACGTGTTCTCCGGAGCCTGCGCAGTCACCAAATACAAAGACTATAAAGGATTGCGTCACGCAGGCGATTGCCCCTTGCATTCAACAACTCCTATAAGAAAAATGGCTCGGCATGCTCAGATTTTCCGGAAGGGTCACATCAAACAAAAAGTTGAATCCATCTGCAGCAAGAATAAAATAGAACAGTCCGTCCTATCTCCGATGTTGAAACATCACATGTTTTGCGTGTCTGCGCGCAGCTCCTGAGCCACGCCATAGATGTCTGTCAGGAAGAGCGCGCACAGCACAACCAGCCTCAAGCACTGCTCGGAAATTCCCTCATCGCTCATGCACTGCTCATGCCTCTACTCCTGACACTTTCTTCAAGCTGCTCGTACTTGGCATACGGCATGGAAGCCACATCCCATGCCCTTGATGTGACCACTTTTCGCGTGCAGTTGATGAAGCGGGAGTCATACCTGAACAGCCCGGGCGTGCGTGGCGGGCCGGTGGGGAATGCGGGGTTGCTGTTTCCTTGCCATACCCTGTGGCGCGCACCGGTCCCCAAGCTTTCGCGCAATGAGTCCACGCGGTGGCGGGGAGGACCTCAGACGAAGTGCGGAGATATGGCGAGATGATCATGGGACTCTTAGTATAGGTGGAAGCTGCCTGGTGGAGATTGAATTTCTGTTTTTGCGCGGAGCAGCCTACAGGACAGAGCCATCTCAATTCGACACCAAGGTAGCTGCGATTAGCTGCATGGAGCCTGAACAATCGATGCTCTTGGCCTTGGCACCCACTCGTCCTCAGAGACAGGCTCTTCCGCCTTGTGGTCCGCGAAAAATCAATGAGAAACTTGAACTATAATATATGATAGTATATTATGGTATATTGCAGTACAGTATAGTATTATATTATGGTATATGATACCATAGTCTCAACTTACATGGACCAAGCCTGCGCCGGGAAATCGTCGTCGGGCTCTTGCTGAAATATCGGACAAACTTGTTGAACCTCACATCGCTTGAACGCTGAGGAGCCGCTCTTCAGACGTTAATCCTCAAACCCTGGATTCCATAAGGTTGGAGATATGAGATGCACTAACTGGAATAGCAGCCTCCACAAGCGCCATTCGCAGTCCCAAGGCCTTGCAGGTAAAGGAAGTCGAAGTCGAAGGCTTTGGATCATCATGATGGTAACAACTTTGAATGCTTACAAAGGGGTCTGCAGCTTTGGCCTGCGCGGTCTGGGCTTCGTCTTCCAATCCAGACGCAAGCCTGCTTTGCTCCGTGGAAGACGCGCTGTTCCGAAACGAAACATGCTACCCCAATATATACCCTAATATATACCCTATTATAGTAGTTTCCATCTTCTTTTCCATTATCACAAAAAAAAAAAAACTCAATATTATCTACCCTATTATATTGTAGGTAGTTTCCATGTTATTTTCCATTATCCCAATGTGTGGTCTTCTGCCTGGGCTGGTCCGTGGCCAGGCCTGCAGAAGCTGGCTTAGCTTTGAAGTTGTTTTTTGTTTTATGTGACCTTTTCTCCAAGGCACGAGTCCTTAGGATGCTATTGCAGCACGATCCCTGTTTAGGGTTTAGGGTTTAGGGTGTTTGGTTTTGTGGCTCGTTTTTACGCCTGTCTCCAAGCGGGTTTAGGGTGAAGGGTTTAGGGCCAAGGCTGTTTTTGCTGGCGGCTTCGCTCGCGCCTTGATCTGACTTGAAGTTTTCCGCCAAGGCCTCGTCCGGACCTCGTTCGAGCCTGCGCCAGATTGTGCATGTCTTTCAATATCCAGATGAGCCATTGCCTAAGCTCCTAGTATCCCCCTGAATGACTCAATGACCCCTATAGTAGCCCCCTATATAATCCCCTGTATAACCCCCCTTTAAGGAATTTAGACTACAGCTCATATGCACAAGATTGAAGACGTACTCCAAAGGCCTGACATCCTGCAGCTGTTCGCCTACAAGCCAGCCAGGCACAGAAACAAATCTGTACAGTTCCAAAACCACGACCGGCCTGTGCAGCAGGTAAGGCAAGCCCTGAGCCATGTCACTATAACCCATTATAGTACTTTCCATTTTCTTTTCCATTATCCCAATATAACCCTAATATAACCCCAATATATACCCTATTACAGTAGTTTCCATTTTCTTTTCCATTATCCCAATATCACCCCAATATATGCCCTATTATAGCCCTAATATCTACCCTATTATGGTAGTTTCCATTTTCTTTTCCATTATCCCAATATAACCCCAATATAACCCTAGTATATACCCTATTATAGTAGTTTCCATTTTCCTTTCCATTATCCCAATATAGCCCCAATATAACCCTAATATTCCCCTGATATCTACCCTATTATAGTAGTGTCCATTTTATTTTCCATTATCCCTATATCACCGCTACATAATCACAGCTAGGTTCATTGGACCGACAGCAAGGCACGCGAGCCGATTCGTGACAGAGGCGCGGGCGGGACCTTTGTGCGACTGGGCAGTATGTGCCCCCCAGAGGTCTCTCCTGCAAATTTCTCATTGGAAGTGACTGGCAAAGTGAGCAGTCTGTCGTCTGCAGTCCGGCATCTGTCATTAACCGTGCCGTTAATCTGTTGGCACAAGGCCTTCCAGGCATGAAGAACCCCACCCAGACATCCTGATTGAGGCTCTGAGTCTGGGACTGCCTCCTTCATACTTTGGAAGGCGCATGCTCAAGCGGCCGCACGTCATAATCTGTGTATCTGCTAACTCAGAGGCTGTCTAAGCCTGACAACTCTGGGCTGGAAATCTGCAGCTTGCAGGATGATTCAAGAGGTTCCGTTTGGTTACCTCCACCCCTTAGGATGGGGGTTATAGGGCCCTATAGTATATTGGGGTTGTATGGGGATAATGGAAAAGAAAATGGAAACTACTATAGGGTATTGACTGAATGTTATTTAACTGCGCAAACGTGTCTTCGATCTTGTCAAACAGAAAAGGCACTACTGAAGGAGCCGAAATCAAGTTTGGAGATGCTCCATGGACTCCGAAAGCCGAGCATCGAGCACGGACTGCTAGCAAGTCAAAGGACAAAGAAGGTGTGGGGCAGGGAACTGGCTTTGCATGCGATAATGCCCTATGGACTGGAATCTGAAGCTCATCATGCCAGTCCCCTTGATAGAAACCCAGGCATGAAAGCCAACAGAGCCAGCCACCTCACTTCCCTGCTCAGCGCATATTGCACCTCAAATCCACAACGTCTGCAATTGCGGCAGCCACCCGTGCTCGGTCAGATAAGCAGCACGCCGTGCCCAGCAAGAAAGAAAGCGGCATGCACCGCAACATCGTCCCTTGCTGCCACAAGTCTTGGGATCATAGAGTGTGAGTGACTCATGTCGAAAGAGAGGGTGAGAAGTAGTGAGGAATTATGGATACCAATGAAGGAGCAATCCACAAGCGACAGAAAGGCACTGTTGTGTACTGGTGGGATGATGTTTTAGCACTGACTTTGAGCCATAACCATAACCATAACGGCCTTCACAGCAAGCCATAGAAGCTGATTTGGCGCATCTGAAGACTGTTTGATTCGTTACGGAGCTGTACCCCGCGCTTGAGCATGGGAACGTGCATCTGCGAGCATCAGCACACTCTTAGCTATTCACACGGCTCCTGTGTACATCCCTCATGACAGGCGTGAGAATGGCATATGCCTACCAAATTCCATCTGTACAAGCGTCTGGAGAAGCTTGGGCTGCCAGCGAAATGTCTTGACTTGTACGCTTCGGTCTTGAAGAAGCACCGGCAGCTTTACCCACAAGTGAAACGCAAACTTGAAACGTATTTGCCTGTCGCCTTGCTTGCGAGGTGGTCAAGACAAGGCTCTCAAGTAAAGAGGACATATATAACCCCTATATAACCCCTAAGCAACCCTATACAACCTTCTATATCCCCTATGTAACCCTATATAACCCTAAATAAGCTAGGTCTCATCTTGCCAAGCCGGAAGTCAGGACTCGTCATCACTTGGCGTCGCTGAAAGTCACAGGACCTTTTTGATCCCGATAGGTCTCGCCGACCTGCGGAGCTGTGGAGGTTGTGGTGCTTTGACGTGCTATGCAGAAACAGAAAGTAGTTTCTATTTCTTTTCCATTATCCCTATATAAACCCCAATATACTACAGTAGTTTCCATTTCATTTTCCATTATCCCAATATAGATCCCAATATACTCTAGTAGTTTCCATTTTGTTTTTCCATTAGCCCAATACAAACACCAATATAACCCTAATATAACCCTAATATATACCCTATTATAGTAGTGTCCATTTCATTTTCCATTATCCCAATATAAACCCCAATATACTCTAGTAGTTTTCATTTTGTTTTTCCATTATCCCAATATAAACCCCAATATAACCCTAATATATACCCTATTATAGTAGTTTCCATTTTTCTTTTCCATTATCCCAATATCAACCCTATATATTCCCTATAATTCCCATATAAACCCTACATAATCCCTATAATTCCCATATTATAATAGGGTTTCTATTGGGGTTGTATTGGTGCATCTTTCCCCGGTCTGCAGCCTCTTCCAGCTCCGGCCCAAACTCCGGCCCACTCTCGACTATCTCACGGCTGGCTCCAGTCCTTGAAAGGAACCCATATCCAAACGCTCACAAGCCGACAGAAGCGGTAGTTTCCCAAAATAAGGGGACCCCAATGTAGACCCCAAAATACTATAGTCCTTATTATAGGGACCCCCAAAAAGGTACCCCTAATTTTGGTAAACCCCCAAATAGATGAAGTCAGTCCTCCAGCTCTCGCGAAGGATCTGTAACAGCGCCTGATGGATGCAAGCAGCTGACGTTTCCATACGCTTCCGCACGCCCTTGTCTGTGATGTCTGTGGTCTTTGATCGCTTCAAGGCGAGGGCCGTCAGTTCCCAGGCCAGATGCTCTGGGGATACCTGTCATGTCATATGAAAGCCCGCACAGCCAAACAGCGAAAAACCTTGCCTCTTCTCTAGCAAGCTGTGTGTCAAATTGATGTGTCAGCAGGAGGACCAACAGGCACCTTGCTTCGGCTGGTTCAACGGACACTTTGCATTGCCATAGAAAAGCGGGTGACCCGGCCGCAGGTTGTGGATCATGGGCCAAGTGTCCTGTAGACTGTCCGCACGCCTTCGACGAAGGCTCAGCGACTGCGAAAGCAAACAAAACAGCATCAGATCCGAGCCTGTAGCCGAAGATCCTTGATTTCACACTTTGGTACCTATAGCAGCTGGCAACCAAAAGGAAGGCTGAGCACTCCGTTTCGTGACTGCAGTGGCTGAAGGAGCACGTAACTGACTCGCAGTGACTGATACTGGTTCAATGTCCATGAAGACATTTGGTTTCTTAAGTTTGGAGTTGAACGCATGCACCTGAGACTTTGTGCAGCACGGGTTACATCACTCGATCTCGTGGCTCATCGCTGTGCAACAGCCATGAAAGGTACACCTGCGATGCAACCCATGCAGCCCATGCAGGAAGCATTGCGACAGCTCCATTCACTGCAGCCCGTTTCAGGCAGGCACCCCGAGGCTGCGTTCCAAAGAGCCAAAAGCTGCCGAGCCTGCCAGGACAGCATCAAAAATGGTTTGCATGCAAAGTTGCACCATAGATCTGAGCCACCCAGCACACTTGAAAGCAGCGGTTCGCTTTTACCTGCAGACGAATGAAGCCCTAACGGACTTCTGCTTCATGCCCGATTGCGTCGCTTGTGCTGCTTGTGCCTCTGGGGGCTTCTGGCTTGCTTTGGGCTCGGCTGAGGCCCTTGGAGCTGCAGCATGAAAAGATTATTAATATTGAAAGTATTATTAGCATTAGTAGTATTATTATTGCGTCCGTTATTATTCTTATTATTACTATTGCACATATTATTGCTATTATTACTACTATTATTGACCTTACTACTATTCCTATTACTGCTTTCATTACTATTCTTATTTACTCTTATTATTGCTTTCACTCAGCAGCTGTGAGGAACGATTTCTTCAAGCCATCTCTCAGGGTGCCACAAGGCAGAATTCGCGTCCTGCAGGGGAGCCTTGGCTCACCAGATTGTGAACATGAGTAATAATCATAAAAGTAATAATACGAATAATAAGAATAATAAGAGTTGGTAATAATCATAATAGCAATAGTAACACGAGTAATAAGAAGAGTAGTTCTAATAGTAATAAAGGCAATATGAATAGTAGTAATAATAACAAAAGTAGTAATACTAATAATCTCTTCTCACTTCAGGAAGTTTACGAAGTCGATTACGTACAAACGGGCAGCGGAGGTCTTCGAGACCGCGTTGTGTGCATTTTGCATTACACGTGTCACCTCCAATGCCTGCCAGTAAAACCACGGAGCCCCCAAGAAGGGACCCCTAAACCCTAAACCCCTTAACCCCTTAACCCCTAAACCCCTAAACCCCTAAACCCCTAAACCCTAAACCCCTAAGCCCCTAAGGAGGGACCCCTAACCTTTGGAAACCCATAACTTGCCCCTGGCCCGAGCTCGCAGCGGCATCGGAGCCGAGATTGTGCACCGCTCGGAAGACAAAGGCTCCCAGCCTCACGAAGACAATGGGTTTAGGGTTTAGGGTTTAGGGTTTAGGGTTTAGGGTGTAGCCCTGAATTCTTGGAGGGATTGTGGGAGTGGACCTATATGGGCTATAGTCTAACCTCCTTAAAGGGGGTTATATAGGGGACTATTATAGGGCTTATGGATACTAGGAGTGACCTTTCATGTTACTCCATGTTCCACAACTTCCTGGCAATTTCTGTTGGCATGCTGTTGCAGTGCGAAGCATTTTGGGGCAATGAAACCTCAAATTGCAGCCCGTCACTAAACTTCCATGCTCCGAGCCCGCATACTGTAAGCGTTGAGCCACACCAAGTGGTTGGCTGTGGTTGACAAAGTTACAATAATGAGGCGCCTTCATAACATCTGCTTTTCCACCATTCGGATCCATAATTCGCAGCTGACCAACCACTCATCGCACCTCATCGCGGCCTATCAAGGTAGATAGTACTTCTGTGTTGTTTTCTGCAGGGATGGCACTTTGAAACCAGTCTTCAAGCTGCGGCCTTAGCCCAGCTTCGAAACGAAAAACTGGTGCCTGGAACAGCAGCTGTCCTGGAATGAAAAATATCTCTGGGATCTACAAAACAGATTTGATGGAGGAGTACGCGGCTGCCCCACGGCAAAACAAGAAAAGGCTGTAACGCACCACCTGAACTAAAACCCAATTCTGCAATATTCAAGAGCACGTACTCACTCATGCCAGTTTCCAAAGAATTCCGGGCAAAGCTAGGGGTTGTAGCCAGCGATCCCTTCTTGCATGTAGGCAAAGAACGCTCTTAGGCCCTGGCGAAGTTTGATCTCCAAGTGGGAGGTCAGCAGAGCGCCCTAGAGTTTAGGGTTTTAGGGTTTAGGAGTTTTTCGGGTTTGAGGGTTTCGGACTTTACGGTTTAGGGTTTTCAGTATTCTCGAAAGTTGGGGCACGCATGCATCACTGCGCAGCTCTCAGCCAAGAACTGGTTTTGGCCAGCGCTGGATTCATCTCCGCATACTGAACCT